CTTCCTTCGCTTCCTTCGTGGAAGTCTTCCTTCGCTTCCTTCGTGGAAGTCTTCCTTCGCTTCCTTCGTGGAAGTCTTCCTTCGCTTCCTTCGTGGAAGTCTTCCTTCGCTTCCTTCGTGGAAGTCTTCCTTCGCTTCCTTCGTGGAAGTCTTCCTTCGCTTCCTTCGTGGAAGTCTTCCTTCGCTTCCTTCGTGGAAGTCTTCCTTCGCTTCCTTCGTGGAAGTCTCTCCTTCGCTTCCTACGTGGAAGTCTCCTTCGCTTCCTTCGTGGAAGTCATTTCTTTGAAAAATGCTTGATGAAGGTCTATCGTTTTGTAATAGAAATGATTATGATTCCTTCGTAAAAATCAAAATTTTTCATAGAAATTTTCTTTCTCTCATTTCATTTCCACTCTCATTCCTTTTGATTGACCTTTGAAACTCTATTTTAACCTCAATTGTTTGTTTTCTACAGTTAATAGATATAACTAACTGCTGTGCTAAAGCAGAATGTTTTTTTTCCAAGGTCTAAATTTTATTGAATTGCACACGTGGGTCCGAAGTATTGCCGAACTTCCATTTATACACATTTATACACATTAAGAAAAAGGTAATTATACTTGATATAAAATAACGTTAATTGATGGTTTATAATTTTAATCAATTGTTAATAAATGTGAGTTGATTATAGATTCGCCCAACCATCACGACTCTAGTGTGTTTTTTTTAGACAAATGGAAGGTAGAATATTTAATGGACCGCAAGGACCAATCAAATTTAAAGAATCGTTGCAGTACGATTTAATTCATAAAGTCCGGTATTTTACTTTTTGTAAGATTTTTTTTTTGTATTTTTCATTTTTTTACCATATATTATGTAATTTAACCAAATTTTTTTTTTACTTTACAAACGTACAGTGAAGAGCCAAACCCTACCGAAGAACAGGTAGAACCGGTGCGACAAATTCTCGAGTTTAACCCTACCGAAAACGAAAATCATAGGCAGCAGAATCTTGAAAAATTCTTGAAGGATAAAAGAACTAAGTACCTGTTAAAAAGAATCAAAAACTTAGAAGAATCTTTCGAGAATGAGGTATAATTGTTGATTTCGTAGTATTTTTGATTTAAAAAATAAATAAATTAATCTAATTATCTTTATATTATTAGCAAATCCCTCTACAATTAGAAAACAAGTTCAACACTCTTAAACGAAAACAGAAGAACTTGAATTAGAGCTTCTAATAATTCGAAATGGTGACCCAAGGAAAAAATAATGGAACAATGAAAAAATTTCTTTATATGGCAATTTTTTCAAAATTACATTTTACTGTAGAATAATTTCAACGTTATTTCTTGATAGTTTCGTAAAAGTTTAATCAAATTGAACATTTTTCTTTTTTGTAATTTTTCGTTATGCTATCCATAATTAATAATAATAAAAACTTAAATTGAAGTAATAATATATAATTATTAATGAACATTATGAATACGTTAATGAAAGACTTGTCGAAAATATTAAAACTGAATCAACTGTTATTTTGGGATCCGAGAGATTATGATAAAGCCCGGGAATCAACAACAACCATAACAAATTCTATAAAAGAGGAAAGTGCTTAAAATTCTTGCCCAGTGTTGTCATTTGGGACAATATTGGATAGTCCAAGGTTCATGTCCAAAAAAAATAACGTCCGGAATATTTAAACAATAAAAATTAATCTGATGAAACTTCCGCCATTATTTATTCTCGAGGGGGCAATTTAATTCTCAACTTTTTTATTAGGTACAAATCTTAAATCTTCTGATACATCAGGAAGATATTCTCCATGATCATTCATTCAAGTAGAAAAGATTTTACTTGATGATAATACCGATGACATAAACCTAATCAAATCAGCTAACTTGATGCAAAGAAAATAAAGGGTATATTCTGTATTCTTTATAAGCATTCTCAAGTCACGTAAAATGAAAACGGGAATAATATAGATATGATGTATTTATAATCAGCAATTCGTTGTCATAATTATATATATATATTCTTTTGGTAGTAGCAAGTAAAATCAGTCACATCAGGAGCAGCTACAGTTCTTCTTGAATATTTGTAATCTGGTCCCGTAAAATTTTGTTTAACAAATAAAATATTGGAATTCACAGCTTCGCTTTGTTGATTATCACAAGTTCTCGAAATTTTGGCCTTTTTCAAATCGGTTGTTGTTCAAAGCGATAATGATTTTACTGCTTCTAAAAAAAGCCTTACATATAGTAAGCATATGGCGGACCTTTGCAATAGAAAGGTGGAAATCGTATGCAGAATTATGACTTCAGGCCGAGAAATGTTCGGATTTAGCATTTACTCATTTTTATTTTTTCCCGGCAGTTTCTTCTCCTACTATTGCAAGGGTCCCATATAATATGCATGATAAAGCTCGAAAAACTAGTGTGGTAAAGTAAACAAATACTACGAGCATAAGCTGCCTTGCGAGGCGTACAAACGGTAAAATAATTTATGATAAACCTAAAGAATTTGAATTTCATTTATATTAAAACCAAAGTTTTTCCTTTTGAAAAAATTGATGAGCCTCCATATCAAATTCTTTCACTACTTCGAACGAGGAGTACTTGTAAACATTTTCGGTAATAATATTAAAGAAAAAGAATTCAAAAAAGAGAAGATTTTATTCTTAGTAAAATTTAATTCGTAAAAAGCATAGATTTTAGTAATTGATAACGTTTTTAGAGAAGATATCACAAACTTAATAAATTCAAGCAGAGCAAGTAAAAAAAGAATTTAAAATTTTGTCTATGTAAAATTATTAAATGATTAAAAGAAAAAGAAAAAAAAAGAGGACATTTATTAAATTAAACTATTGTATTAAGGGGATTTTCTAGATTAAATTAGTATGTAATTAATATTATTATTGTTGAGAACATCCATATCGAGAATGTAAATACTCTTCGTCATCATTATAGTCATAATTATAACACTCATCATAATCATCATCATAAAATAAAACATCCAATTGCCCATCTTCAATGTGATAATTCACCTTTTCAAATTCTTTAATATCATTATCTCCACCTTTCTTATCTTCTTCAACATTATTGTTTTGAGGTAAGATCGTTAAACCAAACTTATAACTGCAATTATTTTTTAGAATAGGTAAAACTTCACCTTCATCTTGAGAAAAATAATTAATTAATTCATCTTGGGAAGACAAGGCCATTTCTTTACCTCCTGCATCCATATAAGTTAAACTAAAATTAATATCTTCGGGTATATTAAATTGGTCCCGAATTTTTGTGCTAAGCTGATTCCATGTTGGCTTTACACTCGTTGTCTTTATCACGAAAGTTGTTGGTGATGAAGTAGGCGCAAATGATGTTGATAGTATACTCGGAAATATTAATCGTCGAGTTATCGTTAAATTAGGTGGTGAAATTGGAAGTGGTATTGCTGGTAGTTGAGTCGATTGATTTAAAACTTCTAGTGGTGGTGGTTCATATGATATTTTGAAGACCGTAGACATAATAAAGGATTATCTTAAAAAAAAATTATGAAAGGTTTTTTTCTATCTGGTCAAGGCAAATGAATGAAGCAAAAGAAGAGTGTTTTGTTTTTAAAATGGTTCTTATTTCCGACTTAAATAATGGATTTTCGTTATCAATTTTTGGAAAGGATTTACATTAAATTCATATAACATACAGATTATCCACAGAATTTACTTAAAACGTTACTTTCACTTCAAAAAGCAAACAATTTTTGGGTATTTTTTTTTATTAAACAACTCAATTTCTTTATTCCTTTCTTTTTTTTTTTTTTTTTTTTAAAAAAAAAATAAAAAGAAAAAGGGAAGCAAATAAGAAAAAAAAAAAAATTTTTTTTTCATGTTTTATATTATTAAGGTTCTTCGAGAATGCGAGATGTAGATCAGTGAAAGAATTAAGGTTTTTCAAAGTTTCAAAAATACCTTTCTTGATGTCAGATGGTATCACATCATGCGGTATTCTTATCAAATCATCTTTTGCTTTCGTCTAAATTTTCTTATAAAATTAAATCATTTTATAGTTTTTATAAAGAGGATAGAGGTTATAGGTAGGTTATCCTGTTAAGTGAAGTGAACATCGATTGTACTCATAATTTATCGTTTAGATAATGAGAGATAATGAGGGGCACTTCCCAATTCTATATAAAGCTAATTCGAAATGATAATCAATTGTTCGAGTTGAACCCATTGGCTTTTTATTTCAAAATGTATTTATTTCGCTTAGTTTATTTGGTTTAGATTTGGAGTTCGTGATAGTTAATTCTTGCGTTATCGGTCAAAAATAAGTGACAAATTTTTATTGTTACATCCGTTCCATTATCGTTAAATATATTACTTATGATTTATCTTATAATGTGGGAAATTAAAAAATACATGACCAACCTAAGCACAAATAAATCCCTTCCTGAAATTTCTCATACATCTTTTCCAGCCAGCTTCTTTTTAATCTCCAAAACTTACATCCCACATCAAGTGCGGAAGATTATCGCGTCAATTCTGCTTAGGTTTTGCAAAAACAAAACCCTCCGATAAGATAAATTTTGTATAATAATCAATAAATTAAAATTTGAATTACATAATAAATTAGTAAATTTAGCAAGAACTTTCAGATTATATAACTTATAATTAATATTTTACAATACTTTATAGTTTAAAAATTTTATAAATATTAATTTCAACGCTTGAATTAAATATTTAATTTAGATTAAACTTAAACTCAATTCAAATATACAGTAAATTGACTTGACTTATTATTTACTATATTATTCATTTTCTGTTAAGAAAGATAATGATTTTTATCATCAACCAATTGGTTTATAGTATTATAAATGTGATAATTAATAAAATATCAGTTTTCTTTTATATATATATATACAGTATACTTAAAAAGTTTTTGAAAATATAAAAGCATAAAATATATGATATAATATAAAGTTTATATAATATAACACCTTTTTTTTTTTTTTTAAAAAAAAAAAAGGATATTTTAGTATTTTTACTTTATATTATTTTATTATATTTAATCATTAATAAAAAATATATATATATAGTTACTAAAGAATTATATATATAAATAAAAATAAATATAATATATATATCAAATATTTTTTGTTATTTATTAATTATTTACTATACTATATAAAAATAATTAATATTTTATATATTATTAGATAATTAAAAAGTATGATATTTTATAAATGTATATTTTTAAAATAAGAATTAATTAATTATATTAAAATTTGGTTTAAACTAAAATTTTGAAAGGGTAATTTTAAATAGGATTTGTAAATTTGAAATATATATGGTAATATTTTTTAAATTATAAGAAAAAAGATGGATTATATAATATAGATAGAAAAATATTATAATATTAACCTATATAAAGAATAAAGCAAAGTAGAAAAGTTATACAAAAGATAAAAATCATTGGGATTAAAATAATTTGAAGTAGTGCAATAATAATGATATAAATGATATAACTATATAAGAATTACAAAAGTAGCAAAAAGAATCAAAAATTTATGTAATTTGTAAAAATTGGATTTTAACGATTACAACATGATATGATTTATTTTATATTTGACAAATCTACTCTAAAACCGTAACGGTAATATTATGTTATTATTACTTTTTATATGAATGTTTCGCGAAGATATATTGGAAGGTTGCTAGAAAAATCAGGTTCTAAGAATTTTCGACTAAAAATAAGACCTTATTACATTTTATTCTGATGACATCAAAAAACTAAAATGCAATAACGATCAAATCTATTAGGAGAACTTTCCAAATACGGAAACTAAAAAGAGACAAGTGTTAAACGCGATTTGGAAAAATATCTGTTTTTCGATAATTATGCTGATTGTACTACATTGATTTTCAAATATTTTTAATTTTTTTTTTTTTTTTTTTTTTTTTGAATTCCTGAAATTTTCTAATTCGTATCCTTTCAATTTTCATCATGAAATTTGGAAAATATTTACGAGAACGTATAGAAAAATTTCCCGTAGAATGGAGAGAACATTGCATAGATTATAGATCATTAAAATTATATATCAAAGCTAATATAGCCCCAAGTACGTTAAACTTGGATTTAAGTCAAACGGTATGGAAACCACCTACAGACTCAAAAGAATTACATTTCATTCAATTAGTTTCAAAAAGGTTATCAACTTTACAATTTAAAACTACGGAATTCTTGGAAAAATTAGACAATGAAATACAAAAGGTGTCTGATTTTTTTGTTAAAGAATCGAATTCACTTGTAAAGAAAGGTGAAAAACATGTAATAGATTCGGAGAGTAAAATGTTGGAATCTATTATTAAATTAGAAAAATTTGTTTTATTGAGTTATACAGGTTTAGTTAAAATATTAAAAAAACATGATAAACATTCTGGATTAAATATTGGAGAAGCTTATCTTTATAGAATTGTCTCACTCCCTCTAACAAAATCTGAATCACTTTTGACTTTAAAAAAATATTTAATGGAAAAAATTGTGCAAGGCATTTCTCCTAACGCAATAACAACAACTAATATTAATAATGGAATTATGACGGAAAGTTACAATTATGAAACTTTCGATGCAACTACTGCAGCAAAAACTTCATTGTCTCCCTCGTTAGGTACGACACTTTTACCAAATCTTTTTATGTCAAAAGCTTCCCAACACTCATCAGCTGCAGAAGGAAATTGGTTTCCGCCATCGGATTTATTACCTCACCAAAAAGTTATTGTTTCGCTTACTGGACCTCATGGAACTGATATTATAGGATCCATATTTGAATGCATGGCAAAACATGATTGCGAAGTTGAAGATTTTATGTTATCTAGATTATATCACAATGTTACTTTTGGTGTATTAATTACGTTAAACTCTGATAATATAGATTTATTCAGAGATTTAGCTGAAGCATCAAGAAAATGGGATGGTACTTTATCTTTTGATATTCATGATAGTAATCAAAGCTACTTTGCATCGTCTATTGAGGATGCTCCATATGAAAATCGTATTAAATATACTGCCACTGTATTAAATCAAAAGGGTTTAACCCCTCAATTTTTAAATGATTGGACGAAATTTTTGTTAAAAGAAAAAATTTCTGTAGAAAAAATGCAAAGATTAAATGAAGGAAAGTTATCTTGTGCCGATTATAAATTATCTGTACCAGTCACAACAAATTTTGAAAGATTAAGACAAGAATTATTCATTCTAAGTACTTCTCATGGTACGGATGTTGCTATACAACCTTATGATGTTTTTAGAAGACATAAGAGACTAGTCGTGTTTGATATGGATTCTACTCTTATTCAACAAGAGGTTATTGATGAAATTGCTAGACATGCCGGTGTTGTTAATGAAGTTGCCTCTATTACTGAATTAGCTATGAACGGTGAAATTGATTTTAAAGAATCTCTTAAACGTCGAGTTTCTCTTCTTAAAGGAACACCTGTGAAAGTTTTAAATACTGTTCAAGAGAGTTTAACTTTTACTGAAGGTGCTCGTTTCCTTTGTAAAGCATTAAAGAAAATTGGTTTCAAATTGGCAGTTATCTCCGGTAAGTTTTGAATCTTTCAAGGTAAATACCAAAGAAAACTAATTTAATTATGGACATCTCAAAATTTTCCTATAGGTGGATTTATTCCTTTAGCAAAATATGTTAAAAATGAACTCGGATTAGATTATGCTTTTGCAAATCAAGTAAGCTGTCATTTGAATTTATCTTAATGTGAAATATTTTAACGCGTTTTTTTTTTACTCTTCCTTTTTCCTACTTTCTGAATCTAGCTTAAAGTTTCGTCAGATGGACTAACACTTACGGGTGAAACGGTTGGTCCTATAGTTGATGCTGAACGTAAAGCTGAATTACTTGAAGTTATTGCTCAGGCTGAAAATGTTACTTTAGAACAAGTAATCGCTGTTGGTGATGGTGCAAACGATTTACTAATGTTGGCGAAATCTGGTTTAGGTATCGCTTTTAATGCTAAACCAAGGGTACAAGAAAAGGTGATCATTTGAATTTTGAATTTTGAATTTTATTTAAAAAAAAAAGAATATTGTTTAAGAATTGATTGATAATTGAATTTTCCTTAATTAGGCACGAGCTAGGATTAACCAAAAGAGTTTAAAATATGTTTTATATTTATTAGGATATACTGATGAAGACGCTAAACAATTATTTTCTGATTATTGATAATATTAAAAGAAATATATTTTTTCATTCAAATTTCCAGCCCTATCGCTATTATATTTAATTACAATAGAAATATAAATTTAAGTTAACCAATTAATATTATTATTTATATATTTTACAGAGGACAGAACAAAATCTTAATTTTTTTTAAATGGGTATATTATATATACTTTCTTTGATTAATCTTTATTTATTTTACAATTCAAAATTATTTATTTATTTTTTTTCTGATTATGTAAAATATGATAAAATGTAATTTATCATTTAATAAATCATTTAAAAAGAATATGA